GTTTAAAGAACGTAAAATTTTTTTTAAACTTGAAAATTCACAAACAATTAAACAAAAAACAATGTTTGTTAAAAGAATATATATTGAAGAAAATTTATATAACCAGTTAGACTTTTAATTACATAATTATAAAATGGCCAATAAGAAGGTGAGTTATATTCACTTAATAATCATATTTGTGCACACTGCTCTTTAGGCATCAGGAATTTATTCTGGGAAGAGAATTTTTTTTTGAAATTTTCTCAAAGATAAATTTCATTTTTGCTAGGAATGCGAACATGTAGACGCTGCAACCCATGGAGTGAAAAATATGGTTTATTAATTTTTTATTTTATTTTAGATATCGAACTGGGCAAAAGGTCACACTTTTGAAAGTGATCTTCATAAGTTATTTAACCAGAATGGAATAATAGCACATAATTCAAGTTACTGAAGGTGATGGTGAATTAGATTTATTACTATTATATCAGAGTAATCAAATATGTATACAGTATAAAGATAGAAAAAATGCTCTCATGTTAAATATACTGAAAGATTTTGAATCTACAATGACTTGTTTTAAAAATTTATTGAGGATTTTAGTTTATAATAGTAAGACCATATAATGAGTAATTTATTCTTCAAATTAAAATATATATAATACTTAAGAAACTAAAAATGGTTTTTGAAATTGAGATCGGTTCAAACCTATCTTTATGTTTAATCGAACTTTCTAAAGCTTTTTTCTTTTGTTTTGCATTATACTATATATTATACTATATATTTAAATTTTTTACCCTTATAGTAAAGGTAAATAATTAATTAGAATTCAATCTAATCAGTTTCTCTTGACCGATTAGATTTTTCTTCAAAAAATTCTCTTCCAAGACTTAAAAGGTAAGAGAGACTCACAACCTGTAATAATCTTTACTTTATGTAATAATCTTTACTAACTCTCACTTCCGCTAACTCGGCTACTTCATCGTGGATTGTTTGTTGACTGGTTTTCATAATTGTAATTCATTTACGTAAATTAATTATGCTATAAATCCAGATGTAAAATATTATATTGTTGCCAAAAGAGAAAAATTGGAATATACACTAATCGTATCAAGAATTCTCTTTCAAAAAGGTTACTAAACCATTTGCTTATTCTCTACTTAGTTTAAACCGAGTAGAATTTATTTTATTCAACAATAAAGATGAACATTAACAATCTACCAAACGAAATTCTATTTTTAATACTATACAATATCTTTCGAACAAAAATAACTCTATCTGATTTACCAACCACCCTATCGATCAAATTAGTTTGTAAAAAATAGCACAATTGTTATCTTTTATTGTTCAAGATTCATGGAACCAAATATATTTTACTACATGATAAAGATTATACTCCCGTTGAAAAAACTAAATATTATTTTTATTACGACAAAAAAATTTTTTTAAAATATAATGAAAAGAAATATGAAATTCCCTCTGCTTATTTTAATTCATTACGTTTACTTGATTTTTCATTTCTAACTTTCGAATATTTCAAAAAAGAATGTGAACGATGTTTAGAAAAAACAATTCTTCATACGTGGGGTATATGGTTTCTAGATAAATTTTATGATTGTAAAGTGTCAAAATGTAAAACAAAAGATCAAAAATTTCATTGTCACGAGATTTGTAAGAAATATTATAAAATTTATCACCTAAATTTAGATGATGATTTGATTAAATCAATAGAAAATCAGAATATATTTTTTAAGAGTTACTTACTATTTTTTTTTATTTTATATAATAAAATCATCTAATTTCTGACCAATCAGATTTTTTTAATCAATGTGGCTTAGCTCTAAATTTCTATTTAAACCTGATATCTTCTATTTTTTAACACTAAAAGAATATTAAGAGAAAGGTAAGGGAGCTCCCAACTGTATTTTGTTTAAAAATTCGTTTTCTTCACTTTATACTAACTCTCACTAGGACTGATTATCTGTCAATCGATATCAACTGACCAATTCATTTTTTTTAGATGCCAAAAACTAAACCTGGATATTATGCTGTACGAAAAGGATATAAACCAGAAATTTATTTAACTTGAGATGAATGTAAAGTGCAAGTTAATAAATTTCCTAATGCTGTTTATAAAAAATTTTCTACTCGTACCGAACCTCAAAATTTTAATGAAGAAAAACGTGAAGTTTCTGTTGTTCTAAATGATAGTAAAATTCAAGTTTGGACAGACAGATCATCATTTAACAATGGTACAAAAAAGCTCAAGCAGGTATTGGAGTTTTCTGGAAAGATAATGATCCTAATAATTTGAGTGAAAGATTACTGGGATCAGAACAAACTAATAATCGTGCAGAAATATATGCTGTAATTCGTGCTCTTGAAATTTGTGAAAATAAAACAAAACCTTTAAAAATAATGACAGATAGTAAATATATAATTAGTATAATCAAAGATTGGATTGAAAGATGGGGAAAAAATGGATATATGAGTTATAATAATAAACCTATTAAAAACTGAGATTTAATTAAAAGGTTAAAAAAACTTATTGACAATAGAATTGGAATAGTTAAATTAGTTCATATTAGAGTTTATTTAGAAAATTATAGAAACGAACAAGCCGATAGATTAGCCAAACATGGTTTATTAAGAGAAGCAGTTACAGAAATCTCCAAATTAGAAAATAATATTTGTATTACAAACTATTTTAATAAGAAATAAATATTTTTTTATTTTATTTATTTTTTTTTATAAATATGTAAAAAGAATTTTGAAAATGAGATTGTGTTTAGAAGCAATCGCATTAGTGATTGCTTATTATAAGCATCGAGGTGTTCGAAATTCTTTTATAAACACCAACACTGAAGAGGGAGGAAGAAAGAGAAAAGTATACATAATTAGTCCCATCTTTTTTTTTTTGATGCGTTTCTTATTATGATTTGGTGTGAGGTTGGGACCGTAGCCGAATCAACGATTCGAAAACATCAAATCAACGTAAGAAACAAATCAAAAATTTAATTTAAGTTTATTTTAAAGTTAAATAAAAAATATAAAATTATTTGTGATGAAAAAATATTATTTATTAATTTACAAGAATCAAAATAAGATTCGTATTGGTGATTGGGTGTTCTCATAAATTTGAATTAAAATTATGATTCGTACAAAATAGTTTTATAATATATAAAACACAATCATAAGCAATTGTGATCAGCGGCAGCCAAAAAAAAAGAAGTCTGTCTGACAAGACAAAAAGTTTAAATATAATTTAATCAGTTTATAAACTGATTAGATTTTTTATATATAATTATTAATAATGTCTCAATCTTTAAGTGAATTTGATTCTGAAATTCAAAATGTTATAATTAAAGAAAAAAAGAAAAAACATATAGATTTTACATGGTTTAGAGAGAACAAAAACACAAATTTTCGAAGACCGATTATATTTCCTGATGATGAAGGTCACATAACTGAATATATTCAAATCAAATTAAGTGATAAGCAAAACACTCTTCTTGATAAGAAATATCAGAAATTTTTAAAACAAAACAAGTTTGTTCTTAATAAAGATAATATTATTATCGAAGAAACTAGTAAAGAATATTTAATAAGCAAATAATTTTTTAAGTTTATCTTTGTATTTAGCAACAAATACATTCAATTTGCTAAAAATATTTAAATACCTAAACTTTTAGTTTTTAAATTAAAAATGTCTATTCTAATATTTAAACCCTTTCGTAATATATTTTTTAATGAAAAAGAATGTATTAAATATTTATTTAGTAATAATATTTTATATAATATTGAAAGATGCCAACTATGCAATTCGCTAATAACTAGAAAAAAAAAATTTTATATATGTCAGAATCAAGAATATAAAAAACACTATCTGTTTTAACACAATCATTTTTTTCTAATAACCATATTCAAACTTGTGATATTTTATTAATTGGTTACTATTGAATTTGTAAAGCAAAATATACAACTATTAGTTCAATAACAGGTCATTCGTCAGCAACTATTGTTAAATATATAAATATTTTTCAAAAATTAGTAATTAATACATTAACAGAAGATATGTAAAAATTGGTAGAAAAAATATAATTGTTGAAATTGACGAATCAAAATTTAAAAAACTTGAATCTTGGTGGATCATTAGTGGTGTTGAACATATTTTAAAAAGAAAATGCTTCTTTGAGATTGTAGATGAACATGATAAAGATATATTAAAACAAGTTATCAAACAACATGTTTACAAAGATTCAATAGTTTACACTGATAAATAGAAAACATATAGTTGTGTTGAAGAATTAGGTTTTAGACATAGAGTAGTTAATCATTCAAGAAATTGAATTGAAAAAGGAACTGGAGTTCATACAAATAATATTGAAGGTTTGTGGGCTGGTGTTAAATTAAATATATCATCAAGAAACAGAAACAAAAATATTATTCAAAATCATTTATTAGAATTTATTTGGAGATGTAAACATAAAGATAATTTATGGTTTGCTTTTCTTGATGCATTAAAATCTTGTAAACATTAAATTATATTAATAAATTTGCTGAGGGTGCGGTCAAAAAAAAAGCAAAATATGACAAAGTCATCACGAGCGCTTTTTTTTAATATTACCGCACCCTCAATAATAAATTGTTATAGTAAATCCTATAATAAAAATAAATATAAAAATTTTATATAAATTTATATAAAAATGTACTTGCTGATGAAATATAACAAATTCAGGTAAACCATAGCTTATCTAGTTAGTTTATATCATCTAGATAACTATAACCACTCTGATAAATTTAGATTGCAGATAAAGTAGTTTGAGCTTCTATTCTTGCTATCCTTTAGATATGAAATTTATATGTAATTTCTTTTTATAAAAAGAAGTTTAAATAAATTTCAATAATGTAAGAAGCATGGTTTTACCTTGAATATTAAAAAAAAAAATAAATAAATATGCACTTTAATAAATAATATAAGCTTTTAATATTTATAAATAAAATAAATAATAATCATAATAAATAATGATAAACAAATATAATAAAATAATTTGTAATAAAACATATTTATCATAATGCTATTTAATATAACTCAATAATAACCAATGGTTTAGTAGCATTTTGGGATGGTACAGAATAATTCCACCCATAATCTAACTTATAAGATGTGTTAGAATGACATTTTCTTTTCATACTATTATACAGATCTAGAAAAATAACAAAATAATTATAAACGATATTATTGATATAAAATTTATATAAACAAAATTTTTTTTATCGGTTTTACTAAATCGCACTAATGGTGTTCAACACCGCAGTGCTATATTTCAAACGTACTAGCCAACACATGTATGTAAGGGGGTCCCAAAAACCTCACTCTAACTAAAATTTAGATTTATATCTTTACTATAGTTCAGGTTCCCTAACCCCAATTTTACTAGCAAAACTATTAAAAATATATATGGTGTTAAACACCATTGGTGTGATTTAGTAAAACCGGTTTTCAATATCTTACCTGATGTGGCATTGCTAAAACCTTTTAATATTTCAATGGCCCATAAATACGGATTATTTTGCATTTCAGGGACGTCTTGATATGATTTATATAATAGGTTGAAGATGTTACTTGACACTATTCACATAAAATTCATGCCTAGTGAACGTATTTACTAATAGAGCTTAATACTCACGGGCTATCGTATTTGATCCAATTATGTAGTTGATTAAATATAACATTATTCATTGCAAAATTCAAATTTAAAAATGAATAATCTATAGCCGAACTTTATGCTCACCGACTGATGAAATTTATGTAATTGAAATATTACTTGTTATAATCATTTATAGCAAAATTAAACAAACGAATGTTCTTAAACTTCATACTCACAGACTAGTGGTCAATATAAATTATGCAATCGATTAAAAATGTTAACATTCCTAAATCATAGCAAAATTGTAGCTTGACAAACGAATATACATGATTGAAATTTACTCACAGGCTGATAATTGATGCAATTATATGATTGATTAAAGTGTTATTTTATAATAAATTGATAGCAAACTAAAACGTGTATAATAGAACTTCATATTCACCCGCTGGTAGTTTACATAAATTATATAATTGATTGAAATATTATTTGATATCATTAATAAAAAAATCAATTTTCAACAAGCGAATATATGTAACCGAACTTCAAACTCACCATCTGCCATTAAATTATGTAATCAAATCATTTTACACAAAATTCATAGAAAATTCAAAGAATATACATAATTAAACTTTATACTTACTGGCTGTAATTTTGTAATAAATATATAGCAAATTATAATTTAACAAAGTAACACATGTAATATAATTCATACTCACTCACTATAATTATATAATCTATTTATTTAACGATTCATAACAAAGTTTTGATTTAGCAAAAAATATGCATAGTAATAACTCTTATACTTACCAACTAATATTGTAGTTGATGTGATTTATTAGCTTGTTGACTTAGTAAACAATATAATGTAATCGAACTTTATATTTACCGCCAGCGTTTGGTTTGTGAACTTATATGATCGATTGAAAAGTAATTAGCCTTATTTATAACAAATTCTAATTTACAAAACATACTAAAAACCAAATTTATACTCACATTTTGTCTCCGGTAATTGATGTATATGGTATAGTCGAATAAGATATTCTATAGTCGAATAAAATATTCCATTTACAAATTCTGATTTAACCAATTTTTGAGGTTTATACTCACTGACTATCACTGTATTAGTTAAGCGATTGAAATATTATGAATATTATTAAATAATATTCATAGAAAATTATGATTTAAACACATGTGGCCAAGCTTTACACCCACCATCTGATACGCAATTCATGCAATCAAACTGTTATTTTACGAATTATTCGAAATTATACGAATATATATCACAATTTATACACACTTCCTGGTAGTTGATAATTTATTGATTGAAATATCATTTAACATTATTCATAGAAAGCATGATTTAATAAAAAAATATATGTAATTAAACTTTATACTCACTTACTAATAATAAAAAAAAGTTATGTAAACGATTTATTCAACAATTCGTAGCAAATTCGTATTTAACAAACGAATTTATGCAATCAACCATTATACTCACCAACTGATAGTTAATGACAACTGTTATTTAACACTATTAAAATTCTGATTTAATAAATATATATAATCAATTATTATACTCACCGGCTAATTGTAGACGTAGATTATTATTTAACATGAATTTTTTAATTTAATAACGAATATATTAGGGATTTTAGGCGGGTCGGGTTTGGGTTAATATTTTTTAACCATGGTCAGACCTGGGTCAGAAAAATCTTAACCAGATCTAGATCGGACGATTAATGAAATCACTCTTCATGCGATGAAATTGTGTTATTATTCTTCACGGCTAAAAATGCTTCAATGAAAAAAATTCATATAAGCGTAATATGTAATATTGTAGCGAAGGACAATTTACATATTAAAAAAATGATTTGAATACAACAAATTTTATTACGATTAATTACAGTAACAGTTATAAATAACTATTATAAGTTATTTTTTTGCCCTTATATATAAATAAAACCTTTCCTAGGGTCAATTTACACCTACCCTGAAATTTTTATATTTTATTATCGGTTTTGTATACCAATTTTGGACATCTGACCAATCAAATTCGGACATAATAGCAATCAAATTTGGACATCTTAGCAATCAAATTCAGACGACGATATCTCGTGTTCTAGTGATTGGGATCACGTAAATTTGGTACTATTCGACTTGTGTTGTCAAGATGAGTCGAATGGTACCAAAATTATATGATCCCAACCACCAGAACACTAGATATCGCCGTCTGAATTTGATTGCTAAGATGTCCAAATTTGATTCTATGCCCAAATTTGATTGCTATTATGTCCGAATTTGATTGGTCAGATGTCCAAAATTGGTATACAAAACCGATATGATTTTACTATACGAATTTTTTCACCAAAGCATTTTAATCGTGAAAAATAAATTATTAATAAATGTCATTTAAATTTTATGAAAGAATCTGGCCCTACGAAGCTTGGTACAAGAAGGGCGGGTTCATTGAACCAAGTTATGTTAAACCCAAGTCGAATTGAGAGTTAGCAACAAATCTTCTCAAACCCGACCAATTAAAAGTTCTAATGTATGTGGCAAATTTTTAATTTAATAACGAATATATGTAATCAAATCTTATACGTACTGGATATATGTCATTCTTGGGTACGGACACGTAATCGATTAAAAAATTATTTAACGTTAAACTTTTGCATAAAATCTTACCGAATTTACATAATCAAACTTCACACTCACACAGAAACGCTAATTGATGTAATTCTTGTAATTGATTAAAAGTGTTAAATATTATAGCAAATTCTGGTAAATAAATCATAGCAGATTGGCGGAATTTTGACCTTTATTTAAATACCATAAATTTTAAAGTGGGTATTTATTTGATATTTATGTTTATATAAAATGAATTGAATGTTGAAATTAGAACTTAAAAATTAGTTCTATCCAGGGACACGGAATTTATGTGATTTAGTGTGATTTGATGTTCGTT